TACAAATGCACCCGTGGGTTACATTGAATTAATACAACAATGTTGGGATTCGGATCCAAATAAAAGACCAACAGCTTTTAACATTTATCATCTTATTGATAAAATCATTTTGAATGAAGTAAAGTCGCCAACAAAAATAATAATATCACCGAATATTGGACCTATCACAAAAAATGATTTAGACAGTGCTATATATAAAAGTGGTGCGACCATCTCTTTAAAATCTAAAGAACATTCGAAAAGTCAAATAATTATCGGTAAATAGTATAATTAAATCGTCATCATATTAAGTAATTGAATTATGACAAATCTATTAATTTATTTTTATTACTTAGATGAATGTATAAAAAATACCAACTTATGTTCTAATGATTCTATCAATGATGGTAAGTAAAAGATATCAAATAAATAATAGTTTAAATTTAACAACAAACTAATTTATTATTTAATAGGTTATACTTCTAAAAAAATTGATTTTGATATTTAATAATAAGAACTTATTATCCATCGATAAAGTCACGTTTTAATTTATATATAAGTACATTTTAGTTTAGTTATAGTTCCGTGATTTAAAGGAAAATATGAAAAGCAAGTAGATTCGAAAGAAAGAAACTTAGCTTCAAGAAAAATCAAGTTCCATGAATCAATTATTATTTATGTTTAATATTAATATAAGGTTAACAATTCAGGCGGTTTACTAAGATATTTAAAATTTACAAGCAACTGTTTCCTGCGGTTATACACTTACCATCTATACAAATTCCTTATAAGATATCAATGCACAAACTCCATACCTACTCTCAGCTATGAAATACTCTGATGACTACCTTACCTAATTCGCTAATATAAACATTTATTTTTATTCATATATTTATACTTTGTGATGTAATAAAAAACATTCAAATTTATTTTTTAAAAAAAAATCGCGCGCGTTTGAGTTATTAGAAATTAAATATTGTATAAAAATCAGAATTTACATAAATTGACTATCGAAAAATCTTTGATTTATAAATTGCAAATATAACAATCTATATTGATCATTTAGATTCACTAGCGAAATATAATCTGAATTCGAAAAAATTGCAAATAATAAAGGTGGGTGGTTATTGGTTATGACAATTTCTTTATATTTCTTTCGATAACATTTTAATAGACATAATATTTAGCAAGACTGAATAATTAATATGTAATAATCTTTCAACTCAAAAGAAATGGATATTGAAGATTTGGCCCGACTATTCGTTATGCAGACGATATTACGATAGTTTTGAATTCTCTAATAAATTGAATTTCTTATGCATATTAAGTTTTTTAACATTTGACCAATAAAGAATATACTATTTACAACAATGAATTAGGAAATTATTAAAGAAAAATACCAATTGTTATTTTTAACATGCATGTTGAATTGAAAGTTACAGACATTACTTTCACTTATCTATTTATTGAGTCAGAGAATAGAACAAAGTGATTATGTGCTCGTCTTATTATTACTTTGCATTCGTTCTCCAAGTTGAAATTTTTTTTAGTAATACAAAATTTCATTCATTCCAATCTTACTATATTCAGATCTCGAAAATATAATGCCAAATTTAAAAATAAAAATACGAACCAACACTTTACAAAAAAAAAAAAGAAAATAAATCGCATAATATTACAATTGTTCATTACCTAAAGTGAGTCAAATAAAAAATACAAGCAAAATAATTAAATACGTTTGCCTTTGTTAAATCAAATATTAAATGTTTACTCATTCCATTATACAATCTTATAAAACACCCTAAATATATTTGTCGAATTTAATATAATACCTGACAATTATTTCGTCGATACCCCGCTTTACCGATAGGATCTCTCACCCGATCACCGACGGCTACAAAAAAAAAAAAAAATAGGAACGTAATTATTAATTTTATTAAACATTTATAAATTAACTGTAATAAAATTTATATTTTAAGTTTGTATATAATTGAATCTTTATTTCATTAAAATGGTAAACATCTTGTATAAATTAAAAGTATATTATAATTTAAATATGATTTTTGCGAACGGTGTCAGCGAAACGAATGTCGGGTAATGACCCTAAGGTTGCCGGAGGTTTCGACAGGCATCGAAATCGAAACCGTCGAAACGTTTTGCCAAATATTTTTATTAAAGACAAAATTGCGAAAGTTTCGACGGGTGGCAAAAGTTTCGACGGATGGCAAAACCCATCGAAACCTTTTGATATTAAAATACAACTTTTGAATTTTAAAATTTATTATTTTTGTTTACAAATCGTATATATCAAAGGTCATTTTCTTTTATGATATCATATATTTATAATATTTATAAAAGATAAAAATTAAAAGACCGTTAATCAAAAATTTGCTTTTAAATTAAGGAGTGAACTAGTTGATGGTAAAAAAAACAAGTGTAGCACAATGACTAAATGATTCATCTAATATGACTAACATTGATGTTTGATGTATGATAGTATTAATATGAAATTTTTTATGTGCGACGAAATGATAATAAAAATAAAAATAAATTGTTAGTTTAAAATAGAGGTTGGAAACGGATTCGATATTCGGATTTAAATCCGGATCCGATTTTTATATCCGGATATAAAAAATAAACCTCTATCATCATCTTCTTCATAAGGTAATTCTCCTAATTCTTCAACAAGTTCCTGTGCTTACAAATTTAAAACCTCGTTTTATATTCTACATTGCGATACAATAAAGTTGTTATCGAATCTTTCGAGACCATCGAAACTGTCAAAATAATTTCTGAAAAGTTTCGACTTTTGCCAAATTAGGTTTAGGGTATTGCCCGCAATTATAAATGACCCAGAAATTAATTTTAAATGTTTGACTAATTCCCTTATCAGTAATTCATTGCCCTGGTCAATATTATAACCAATCCTATTAATTTAGAATTCAAAGTAAACAACTTGTATGCTTGCGAATAAGTTTCAAATAATAGGTGTATTAACAATATTTGTATGTTTTTGCTCTAAAAGTTATCTGCAATATCAAATTCTATAGTCCTATTGCGAAAAACATCAGCAGTTTCAACCCTTTTAGTGGATCCTCATCCTTAAATTTTTTCTTTAAATTTATATAACAGTTTAAATTTATTCTTTGAAGTCTTCTTTACAGGTGAAATATATATTCTATAAAGCCATAATCAAAATTATCAATGAAAATTCTCTTTTGCTCAGCCCAAAGATTTTTATGAGTTTTAAATAATCACTAAATTTGAAAAAGTACACTTTCTTTTCTAAAAAAATTTTATTCTTGGATATACTTTCCAAAATTTTTTTAATCACTTTTAACACACGTAAAAAGTAATAATAATCCTGTAATCCTGTTTGCTTATAATTTAAAATTCTTCAATAGTATTTTCGTCTTTTCAATATTAACCAACCACTTGGAACTTTTGAAAGAAGAATTTGACTTTATTTTAATTAAATAGTAACCTTGGAGTAAATTAATCAAGAATTAATTCATCGGATTCTACGATTAAGGTATCAGAAATAATAAAAATTTGACATTTTGTAAGCGAAAAAATTTATTAAACATATTATGATTGTCTTTTGTAAATACATTTCTGCGATTCAAATAAGAGCTAGGTCTTAAATATTAGAATGTGCATGAAATCAACTTTGATAATAACATCTTTCAAGCCAATTTTAAAAAAAGTTTTGAGTCAATCTAGAAATAACAAAATTCGAAATACATTTAAAAAATGTTTGCAGAATACAAATTTTCGATTATTAAGTCCTTATAAGAAACCTGTTTAATATAAAGATCGTAATCACAAACTGTCCTAGATGATTGCTCCATTAATTGATGTAAACAAAAATCTTATACAATAAAAGTTGAGTTAAATGATTTGTAATTTTAAAATATTTCTCTAAAATCTAAAAATCTCCATTTCTTCTATGTTAAAAGTGCTTGCATCCAAAATATTACTTTCATAATAGGCTTGTTTGCACGTACCAGTATTCCCATTGATAACCAAATCACTATTGCCAAAATTTAATGTCATATTAACATAATGCGATTCGTACATCGCATAATTACTATCTCGAACTCGACTAATATTAAAATTTTTTGAATCCTTTCCATTACCTAAAGAATAAATAAAACTTTCGGAAGTATAGGCCCAGTTGCCATAACTGTTATAATGATTATAATACGTTCTATGATGGTTGCCCCAACCACAAGGATTATAACCACCAATAATAGTGTCATTCTCT